TAGTGAGAAGTCGTGACCAATAAGGTCCAATTAGATGTCAAGTATGTGGATGGATGTCCCACCAACGACATTTGTTGGGGTCGCGCTAAATCACGAATTACTAGAAGTTAGAACTCATGAGCCATTGAATCGGGTCCCAGTGGCTGAATGGAATACGAGCTTGCCTTGTAACTGGAAGGTTCTGGGTTGGAACCCTGGTGGTGGGTGCGTACTGCCTATGATTCACAAACTAGGACGAAATAGCTGTCCAGTATTCCCTGGTTTTCAATGGTTCTCTAACTGATATCAATCCGTGATCAACCCATAAAAACAGTTAGTTATCAGAAGAAGAACTTGAAATTATTGAGCACTGAAAAGTGAATAACAATAATGGTAGTTAAAATAATAAATGGTATTGTCAAAGGATATTACTAAATGAATCAAGAATATTAATAAAAGACAGTATAAAATATCAATAATAATAGTAACAACTGTTAATTAGTAAGACATTGCCGTGGTTCATTCAAAGTGGCCATCATTTCCTTCTAAACACAGAAATCATTTTTACATACCCAGCAAATGTAAGTATCTTTCTAATTTTGTCTTCTAACAACAGTGAATGTCCTCACAGCGTCACTTTCATATCCGTAGTCCATATGATACTTTGTTAGTGGGAATTTTGCTACTCTGACTTCATCATGTTTTCAACCAGTTGGGCAAATGCTCCATCGTGTGAATGGACCGTCATCATTCCATGAGACGTATGTATTTGCTTCTGCAAAGGTACTTAAACTGATATATGCAGTATGAAATGTCTGTGACTGGTGAACAGTCTTTCCCAAATTTTTGCGGTACCCATTTAGTGATGTCAAGGAAAATGAGCACTGCGGTATAGTGAGTTCTCCGAATAGCTTCCTCAAGTCTTTGTTTTGCTAATTCTTGTACATCATCCCCTCTAAATGGAGAAGTGATACATGCAGCTTCCTTTGAAATGATTTAGATAACTAAACTGAGTCTTATTTCTTTGAAATATTTATTGATAAACCTCTCAGAGTATCCAACCTAGATAAAATTTTCCTCAAAGTCCTTATTTAATATTCAGCTGTACTGCTAGGATAACTTCTGCATGCTCTGTTGAACTAGGTTCTTTTTATACTGGGTAGTAACAAAAATTTTAAAGTTTATATGCTGTTCCATCCGTGAAAACATTCTAAATATGAATCTTTAAATTGCTTCATCAATAGTTCCCACAAGATAACCAGTTAGGAATTTAATGCTCTAATTTTCCTCGTGTTCTGCTGTGAAATTAACATTAGGATGGCATGAGCTGAATTCTACCAGTCTATTTTCAGCCTCTGATTCAGTTTTAAATTTCTTTTATATTTCAAAATTATCCTCGACATAATTCCGTCTCTTGTATATGCTGTCACAAAATACAAGTCTGTAGACAGTGATCCTAAAGGGCTTCTCATTGCAACACTAATAACTTGATGGTATTCAGCCATTAAACATAATAAATCTTTTCAGTTGCGTTGTTGGAATAGGTACGTCTTTAGCTTCTATACATAAAAAGTCAATAGCCTGAATGACTGGAACATTTGTGAACAGGGAAGTCACATCAGAAATTTTTTTTCTTCACATTCCCCAGTGGAGCATAAGGCTTCCAGCTTGTGGCTTGAAGTTTCTGTAGCAGTGTTTATTTTTACAGGATGGGGTTGCTAGCCTCATACCCAACCCTTCCTCTTCACCAGCATTATTTCTGGCTTAGCAAGGTAAAGGAGTGCGTCGGCCGGGGATCGAACCCCGGACCATGTGCATGGTCGGCGAGCGTCCTAACCGCTAGGCAACCGACGCACACATATCAGAAATGACAAAATCTTTTTAACAGTAACACTGAGTTCCTCAATATTCTTGACAAATTAAAATAAATCAGAGACAACATCTATTTCAAAGCGTTTCCGTAGGGGCTGCAATAGTTCCCATAGCCATTGTGCTATTTGGAGATATGGTAAAATGTCACTGAAAGCATAGGACATATGGTTGCTCTTGGCCTGTGATCTTTTACATATCATGTAGAAAAATGTGACTTGGTAGATCACGGAACAGTGTCCTCTTTAACCACTTTTCTTCTGTATCTTTCACCACTTGTCAAAGTGGCATGAATTTTAAATAATGTACTAAAGGCAAGTCACTTTGTACGTTGAACAGTTTGCTTTACAGCGCTTTTAAATTATTGATGTAATTTCGATTCACTTAGTCAGTAAAGATTTGGCTGTGTAGGTATCAAACGGTCTTTTTGCTAAGATTTACAAAATGTTCCATGATATGCATTAGACTGGAAACTTTCTACAAAAATCCTCTTAGAGTAGAATGTTTAGCACGTCTATACTTTAATTTCAGTGCATCAGTTAGCGCATTGGCGGTATTTTCTGCAGAGACCTTCTTCAGAAATTGAGAATAATCATGCACCGATAGGTATTTAAAACACGCAACAAATGTTAATAAAGCAACATTTTTTTGCAATGAAATAACTAGAATTCTCTACTCTGTACATAAAGTTGACGGCATCATTTAGATATTTGTGAGTAGATTAGAAAAGCAGAAATCATGCAGCTTTTTGTGTTTGAAATAAAAAGCAACCTATAGGCTGTGAAGATATTATGAATAAGGAAGACTGCTCAGATAATAACTGTTTAACCGTGTGTTTATACGGCAAACAATTTGTTGTATTAATTTTTCCTTATGAAGTATTCTCAGATAGTTTCCTTACCTAGAAATATACTTTACATGACAAAATGTTTGTGATTGGCTTCTGTATTTGATGGAAAGTTGTTTAAATAAGAGGAAGTGTAACCACTAAGAAATATCCTCATTTTAAGGAATACATTCCGTAAAGAGTTACTATATGCTAATATCTGCAAATCATTGTCCACTATCTTTGAAATGCAAAAATCAGTAACTCGACTGGTGGTGTTCTCACGTATGTGCTGTCTGGAATTTTGTCCACTCTTGTCTGCTTAATGTGTACAGCACTGGGTAGAATATGACTGCTTCATATTTGATAGAACGTATGTGAGTAATCTCAGAATATTAGGTATGAATTAGACGAGAATAGGAAATTATTTTCCATAGGTTTTGCAAGGCAAGCATCTGCTTTGCGGGTATGATTGATTCATCTCATAGATATCGACAAAATATTTGATCAGGTTAAATGTTCCGATCAATCATACTATGAACTCACCATATTTTACTTGGAAATAAGACAGTGATTTAGTTGTATGTTTTTTAATTCTTACTATACCCTTGGATTCCGAGTCGAAGATAGGGCCTCATCAGCAGATCTCCACTTTTTGATGTTCTCTGAAGTACATTTTAGCTGTAATAAAGGTTTTTGTATTTCCCAATGAATGAAAAACAAAACGATATTGTTTTTACTGACGTTTCGCTATTTAATGCTGCTAATAGCTTTATCAAAGTATTATTAAACCGGAATTTACAAAATCTCAGCATATATATAACAAAGAGTTAGGGGGTGAGAAAATAGACTTAGATGAAGTTAAAGGGACATATTGAAAGTCAAAATAACAATGAAGATCACTAAACCAAATAACAAAGTTAAAAGTACATCTGTTATGATATCAAAATAAAGTTTACTGACTTGATCATCGTTCGTCTGTCTGGGGGCACTTTTCGTTGTCAAGTTGGTCATTTGGTAAAGATAACAAAATCAAATGTGGATTGTTGGATTTGATCAGTGTGTAAAATTATAAAAGTAGTGTGTGTTTACATAGTGAACTTGCTTATCATATTCGTGTTGATTTTGTCACTTCATGGGGGAGGGGAGGGAGGTGTTGTAACCAGGTCAGATTCTGTTTTAGTCCATCATTCCTATTCAGGCAATTTGGATTCCACTTGATATGAAGTGCTTCTGATATTAGACGTTCTTTGTGACTTCTGAAGTTTCTCTGGATTATTTCAATATTGTCAAAATCAATTTTGTGGCCTGATTCTATAGCGTAGCGTGTAGACAACCTATGGCTGATGATTTTTCAAGTTTTTCTAGTTCAACCGGATTTCTCGGTGGTCGAAGAGATGCTCTACGGTGTTCATTTCTTCTGATTTTGATTTCCCGAGATGTTTGTCCAATGTATATCGCATCACATTCCAAGCATTTTATTTTATCGACACAATTAGGTAGAGAATCTTTAGGGATTTGGTCTTTTATATGGACAAGGTTGCTTTGAAGTGTGTGTGATGTTTTGAAGAAAACTCTGATGTCGAGTTGATTGAGTACTCCTCTGATATCGTCTGACGTCTCTGCTCTATATGGAATGACGACTCTTGATGTCCATGTTTTCGGAATGCGTTTTCGGCCATACTTAATGTCATTGTTGATTTTGTTGATGAAGTTGTTTTGCTTGAGAGTTTCAGTAATGTTTGATATTTCTTCTTCTTTTTCTTTCTCGTCGGTTATCGTCGGTTAGCTGGCTACATATTTTCCTAGAAGTTTTCATCTCCCCCTTACACTATCACCTCTGTGTCATTCCTCGACGCTCAACTCGTCGTTTCCCATTCGAATTCCATGCAACGGCTAACAAATGTTAGGCGAGATATGAACAGTAATCATTTCAAGGAAGGTTTGATTTGTATTTTTCTGTTAGTATTTGAATTGTATTAATTTAGAAGCCAGTGAAGATTGTCAAATATATTGCTATTGATTGATTGTTTCTCACTGACTAATGAATTGATTCAAACTTCATTTTCTTGTCATGTAAATTAGTATTAAATAGGTACAATCAAATCTATGGCAGAATTTCTACAGATTCATAGTAGGAGGTGTTAAAAATAGGTTGGTTTCTTCACTCATTCAACCTTCTATTGTATGTGTTCAGGCATAAACATTTCAATGCACATAAACAGTAAATCAGATATTTTTTGTACATTACAAAACTTTCCAAAATAAAAAGTTTTTGTCGTAATAACTAATTCAACTGATTTAAAATATTTCTGTACAATTTCAGTCCTTGTTTTTGCAACAGTATTATTGGAAGTCAGTGAAGGATATAACGAGGAAGCATTATATAATGACAGGTAAGTGAACACATTTTATAAACATATTGAGTAGAGAAGTCTATAAATGATAAATGAGCTGGTTAAATGTATATCGTCTGATTATGAAGAAAACAACTACCGTCATATGCATGTTAAAGATTTTTAAAAAAACAAGCTACACAATATGTAAAACGTCATTGCTTGAGCTAAATTGATTGCTAATAAATTAAGTTAGGCAGGCGTAAACAACAATCCTAAAAATGACTTTTCAGTTTACTGTGAATGTTAACTACCATCACCACTCCCCTGTTCACTTGTTTAACTTGTCATTCAGTGGCATATTTTAAGATAATACAGACATGACTAGTTATTATGGCGAGTCAGAATAACTAGCAGTATGCTCATCAGCAGATGTGCTGGCGAGGGGGGGTTGAGCTGTAATTAACGGAAGCGAAGATAGCGCAAAGAAAACTGCAAGCTTTTGTAATAAGATTTATGTTTTTACTCTCCATTTGTCTAATGTTAAATGAAGTTAACAGCCATAAAATCAGACGATTATTCGAGGAATGGATGGCAATGTAACCATGGGAAATACTGGAATATATATATTTATTCTTTAATTTGTATGTATGCATAGTTGCTTATCTAGACAGAATCGTTTCAACTACAGGCGGCTGGTACAGATTAAGTTATCAAACCAGAATCGGAAAAGCATTGTAGAGCATTTTCATCACTTTGAAATCGGTCTGCAAATCCTCTGCACTCAACATAAGGAACAAAATTCGAATTTTCATCAGAAATGTTAGTTCAGTACTTCTATATGAGTCAGAAACTTGGCAAGTCCTGGTAAGCATTTCCAACAGGCTCCAGACTAGTATCAATAGCTGCTTTCGCTGTCTTCTATGCTGAAGATCAACTGACCAGAAAACTCTGGGAACGAACCCAACAATAACCTATCTCTTACTGATATTCCAAAGAAAACGAAGTTGGGTTGGACACACGCGTAACAGGTCATTGCTCGAGTGGAACTAGAATGGAAAACAAAAACATGCAACAACAAAACCGTAATCTACAAAGTAAACTACACTAGCTGTTAATAACGTTGTACTGGTCAGTGTGGAAGATTTCTTCGTCTTTGAATACTTAAATATAAGATAGAATACAAAACTACGATATCTATTTTTCCATATTAATGCATACTGACAGTCTACGACAACAATTCGACTGAAAAAATGTACAAATTTTAGACCAAGGATGTTCAAAAACATACCAGAGGATTTCTAGACTTTTGCTGCTCAAACGAATCTGAAATTAGTACACAATAATGTACATCAAAGTTAACAAATAATAACGAATATATCAAATGATAAAAAGGTTAAGTTACAAGTCAGTGAAACGATGTATGCTAATATAAATAACCAACTAATCGCAGCCAAGCCCAATAGGAGAAACAGTTATATCATTCGTGAAGAATTCAATTAATTTCCCACCATATCGAAACCTGAGCTGAAGATGTCTGGCAGGACAATGGAAAATTCTCAAACAAACCATTACCACCCATCTGGTCACAAGGCTTCTTCATCATATATACACATATATATAACGTGTTTTGTAAGATATAAGTTTTTCGTTCTTAATGCTGGTGTCAGCTTTGAATTCAGTGTACTTACTTACTAACACAGTAAATCGCCGCGTGATTTTAAGAAAAAATTTAAAAGTTACCTCAATTTTTCCAATGCAATTTAAAGAAGAATATCGAAAGTTGAAATTTGTAGTCAAAATATTTTCTGTAAACAAATCACGATGTCACATCTACCGTTTGGGAAATAAACCAAAGAATGGACCTGGCTTGATATTTGAAATAATGATCTGAATAACAGCAGCAGCATTTGGTGACTCAATCAATACATCCCTAGATCAGCTATTCATGGACGATTGATGCCCAGTTTTCTACAATGCCAGCTTTCATTTCACTACTCTTCATCTCACATTATTCAGATTTTAGTTTAAAGAACTACGCTTAACACAGACACTCTCACTAAAAGTTCTTAACGTTTCTCATATTTGTTTTGTAAGAAAACAAGGACACTTTATAGGTTATATAAGAATTCAGATTTGTAAATATTCAGGTTCTCTAAGGAGCATAACATTTTTTGTTATGTTTTGAAGTTTCTACATTGACTGATTTGATTTTCTGAGGTAGGATCGCTAGTCCCACGCCCAACCTTCTTTCCTTTCCTGGGTTTAGGACTGGAACTAGGCGTGAAAGAAAGAAAGGCCAGGAAGGAATTACCGACAAGAAACTCTAGAAACAAGGCGACTAGGGACCAATCGCTCAACCAGTTTTCCTAAGATAACGGTGATAGATTCGGCACACACTTGAGAAGACTGCCGAATGACATCGCACGACAGGCCATCGAGTAGAACCAGAATGAGAAACAACGATCTGGGCGTAGGTCCGACAGTAATGTGGAGGAGATCGTGTGAGGAGGAGATAAAAGCTTATAGGCAGTAGTAGAGCCCGACTGAGAGAACTGCAGAGAACAAAACAAAATGCAGATGTGTTGTTGAAGTTCTTTGTTCCACTTGAAACTCAATGGATAATAATAATAGTGCGTATGAAAATCCCTTGAGCTCCTGTGTCTATCGACTTTCATTTTCACTTATTTAAAATGCCGCAAAAGATAAACATTCAATTCATGGACATGAACGCTATAAATTCCTTTTTTTCATTCAAAACGTACTAATATTTATTAATTCTTTTTATTTTTAATGGACTAGGCCTTATAAACGTTGGTCGCCTGTGAAAGAATATCATTATGGTGAACCAGTTGAAATTAAAAGGAGGTGAGATTTTTTTGTTTGCCTGCTAAATTATCATCATTTTTCATTCGGTAAGAAAATTAACACACAAAATTTAAAAATGCATATTGGTGAAGTGTAAAAAAGATTAAGATGATAAGCTGAAGAGAAGAATTTTGTTAAAGTGCAAGGAATATACTTATATTTTTGTACGAATCAAAGTTGTATGATGAATAAGACAGTCAGTTTGGTAGGTGGTAACTAGCAGTGGAATCCAGAATGCGCATATTGTCCTACTTGGGACTTGCCAGGTGGTGTAACCAGAGTTATCAGTGGTTGATGGCGTTTCGGCTGAGCTTCAAATCCACTAATCATCGTTTCAAACTACTTCAAGACATCGTCAAAATATCCACACAAGGAACCCAAATGTAAACAGAGACTGAATATTTCAGTCCAAACAATCAATAGGAAAATTAAAAATAAATAAGGCAGTCAGTTGTTAACCTAAAGATGTTGTACAGTACCGTCATTCCGTCTGTTTTGTTTTCATTTATGATTCTAAAGACTAGTGTTTTGATTCATCGTTATGTGAATAGCATTCCAGACCAATAAGATAATATGATATTCACTGAAAATAAGTTATCATTCTTTCAGGTAGCTATTTTTCTTTTTTATATATGTGAATTTGAGGAAACAGTATATGCCAAGTTCAGTAACAAAGTGTAAGCAGTATTAGGCTCCTTATTATTATTATTTCCTTTAATTCCTACAGGAACATAGGGCTTCAGCCAAACGTCTCCATTGCGTTCGGTTCTCTGCTAGAGTTTTCACCTGGCTCCAGGTCTGCCCACATGCTTTCATCTCTTCTTCGCATGATCTCCTCCAGGTCACCCTTGGACGACCAACTCGTCGCTTCCCTTTCGGGTTCCACTCGAGCAATGGCTTGTCTAGTGATATCACTTGCTGGTTTCCTCAGAGTATGGCCAGCCAATCCATCTCCATTTCTTCCTGCCTATTTGTTTCACAATCGGTTCCTAGTTGGTTCACTCATTGCCAGAGGTCTCTGTTGCTGATCTTTTCTGGCCGGCCATCTGATCTTGAGTAGTACTGAGCGAAGACATCTGTTAATGAAGGTCTGTAGCTTGTTTGAGGTGCTCTTTGTGACACGCCAAGTCTCTGATCCGTATAGTAGTACTGACTTCACATTGGAGTTGAAAATCCCGATCTTATTTTTGACGCTGAATGATGTTGACCTCCACACAGACTTGAGAGTAATGAAAGCATGCCTTGCTTTCCCGATCCTTGCTTTGATATCCTCGTCAGTTCCGCCTGTAGTTGAGACAATGCTTCCCAGGTATGTGGTTAAAGGAGGTAGTTTCTTTCAGGTTTCTTCAATTTATGCTGATTGCTGTCTGTTGTTGTTGCTGTTGGTGTTGGCCAGGGTTTTCCTTTATTTGCTAGCACTTAAGTACCTATAACTACATATATTTTCATTATTTTTGTCATCAACTTATTAACGAATTATTGCCATAAGTTTCAAGTGGAAAAGAGGGCTTGTCATCCTGCTTTCTGAAGTTGTCTTCAGATGGCTCCATGATTATCCATAAGCTCTCCACTCCTCCTCACTAAATGTTTTCAAAATTATCCTCGGTCACCTGTTCATTTAGTAATTTCCTATTCAAGGATTTAGCCAGCATGCGATGTCAATTAGCGGTCTCTCCCCGCCCTCCCTCCGAAAATTCCTTATTCATAACCACTTCCTCCTGCATATTTGTTGGGTAACAGGTCCTTGATCAGAGGTTAATTTGGTGGATGGTTGCTAGCAGTGGAATCCAGGATGCGCATTTCGTCCTATTTGGGACTCATCATCCGGATGTACCTGCATTCCCCAATGATTTATGATGTTCCAACTGAGGCTCGTACCCAGTGGCCATAGTTTCAAACGCCAAAGCGTTATCCACTAGACCACTTGGGCTACGAGAGCCACCTCTTGTGCAATGGATCATATTAATTATTTAATTGGATTTTAGATTTTCCCGTCGATTGACTGGACCGAAGTGCTTGATCTCAGGTCGACAGGTCGGCTTCTTGTGCAGATGCTTCAACGATGTTTGGGCATGTAATTAGGTCAGCTGATCAGTTGATTGCCACTATTACTAGTTTCTAATCTTTTCCAGTAAGCTATCTGACGAATTATACCACAGAAAATTTAATTCTGAATATTAGTTCCATTTCAAATTTGGCGAGAATATGAAGTTATATATCTAAGAGTATATTACTTTTACAATGAAAAGTATTTCAGAATTCATAGAGGCAGTTCATTTTTCATTTCTATTCTTCGCAAATGTTTAGTCTACCCAGTAAACGTTGGTCCCCTGTCAAAGAGTATCATTACGATGGACCAATTGAAATAAAAAGAGGGTGAGATGGACATTGTTGATTTTTGTATTTGATTATTTTATGTCGAAATGTTCATGGCAAGTTTTCAAGTATTCTTGTGTAAAATTGTAATCTGTCACTTCAAATTTTACCATTTAATATAAAAGTAAATCAATTTCTCGATCGAGAATAAAATGCATACTAAATGACAGAAACCGGCAACTGTTAAATATGTTTATTGTAGAGTTATATTCTCAAAAATATATTGACATAATCTTAGGAATATAATCCGTATATTGATCCATGAGTAACATTTAACATTTGCCAACTTTTATAGTTACATAGTTGCATCTGTTGAAAGTGATTATGAATGTATACTGGGTTGTACATCATGAGAAGTTGACAAAATAGGCGTTCTATTTATCTATTTATTGAGTTTGTACTTTTCAGGACAACTATTGATACATTAAAGTGGACAGTGCGATTGATATTTTGTTATTTAGAGCACTAACTAATGACACCGGAAATGGTACAATCTATCGAATGGGCAAAAGTTGCATGAAAAGAAAAGTTGGTCTTACAGACCGAATTCTCCATGTAATTCATGTCCTTTATTTGGACATGAAAGTCGTGATGAACTGGCGGTGGTTTCTGCAGTTGGCTTTGATTATTTATCAACGAACATAAGAGTTTACATGCACCGTGTACTCTTTTGTATGTTACATAAAAAGAAAGACAATTTTTTGAGGTACTTTCTTGTTCCTGAGACTTTATTGTATAAGTCTTATTTGGACACAAGCAAAATATATGAAGTTAGCACTTTTCACCTGAAATGATGACTGCCAGTTGTTTTGGAAAATCTTAACTGCAGATTGTGAAGCCTGATATCGTAATGTGTGCGTTTCAACTGCTCTGACATTTGCGTCACTCACTGACTTTGAATTACAAAAAAAAGTAAAGCATTGAAAATATGAACAATCCTTCAACTACATCAATATTAACTGATGACGTTTCGAGCGCAAACTATTGCTCATAATCATATCAAGACGATTATGAGCAATAGTTTGTGCTCGAAACGTCACCAGTTAATATTACTGTATAACACTGCGTGAATTATCAAAACAAAAACCTTATCCATAATGGAGTTATACTCTATCACAGTGCCCAAGTTTTATACTTATACCTTCTACTACATCCTGAAATCTACGGGAGGCACTACGAGAACTAGGTAGCTGAGATCTTAAAAGTGGGCAAAAACAAAAGGGTTCTCGAAGGAAATCAATAGAAACTACATGTTTATGGATCATTTGACTTTCTTAATTCTTATGACAAGCCAAAGTAAATGGATTTAGTGATTCAGTATTCTGACAATGAACAGTAATATGTTCAGTCAAAAAAAAATTAATATTCGCATTTTAAATTCATTTAAAGAGCCTAAATATTATTTCAATTGAACAGAGTTTGCAGCTTGAAAATGAAACAAACAGTGCATAAAGATAAAGACAAATGATAAACCATTGTGCTTTTAGTAAAACAGCCATACTATGTGTTTTATCTACTTTCCAGAATTAGTCGTCAATTTAAACGTTGGTCCCCTGTCAAAGAGTTCCATTATGGCGAACCAATTGAGATATAACAGTGGTAAGGCTTTAGTGTATATAATAATAATAATTTTATAAATATCAAAGCCGAGTTCAGATATGCTGCGTTGAAGAAGCTTAGGTTACGCGTTTACGATATGCATTAGTATAAAACGTTCATATTTCAAAACGACATTATTTTCACTGCCATTTGGCTGTCAACTGCCAGTATTTTTATCAGAGTAATAGTATATCAGAATATAAAAATTTCAAACTTACAAATGATAACTCAATCGTAGTTCTTCTCTCCGCTGTAATTTTTCATTGTAAATTCAGTGAATTGGTAAAGATAACAAACCATATTCAAACCACTGGAGCATGAATTATGAGTTATGAAAATCGCTTATCACATTTAATTTAACTATACCACTTTGTTCAGTGGTGTTGAATTCAGGTCAAATTTTGTATTAGTCCATCATTCCTGTTTAGACAGACAATTCCATTAGATGGGTAGTGCTTAAATGAGATGATCTTTCTGGTTTTTGAAATTTGTCTGAATGATTTTAGTCCAGTCAGAATCCCTGTTGTGAACCAATTCGGTAACGTATTGTTCTTTGGTCAAGGATTTTTCCATCTTTTCTTACTCATTTTGGTTTCTTGGTGGTAGGAGACAGACTTCACGGTGTTCGTTTCTTCTGATCTTGATTGTGCGGTAAGTTGGCTTGATGTACATAATATCACAGAAAGAAAATTTCATCGTATATTCACGGTGAGATTATCAGTCTTTTTTGAACTCGGTCTTTCTAATGAACTGGGTTGCTTTGTAGTGTTGCTGATGTTTTGAGGAATACCCTGATTTCTCACTTATCGAGTACTTTTCCTGTTTCCAAATCACGGAATATACACATTTGATCATAGGGAATAAAAAGACAGTTGCAGCGAAGAAAATTTTCTTTTCGACGAAGTCATCATCTAGGCTGTACATTCGTGTATTTATATCAAATGGATGGGAAAGTTCCAGAATAATTTCTGGTTAAGGGTTAAATTAATAGAAATTACAATTAGGAATTAGAACGCCATAATAAACAGGGGGATGGGTAAAACTCAAATAAAGTAGCATGATAACCAAGAAAATTGACATTGTGAAATTACACTGGAGACCGAATCCGACGGAACGTTCCACTTCCTGGACGTCCATCTGACAAGAAATGACAACAACTCTTTGAAAAGGTCCATATACAAAAAGCCTACATGGACTGGACAATTCACCAACTTTCAAAGCTTCGTACCGCTAAGCAGAAAGAGGAACCTGATATACGCTCTTTCTTCGAGGATTCGGAAGATATGCAGCGAGGAAGTGATCGAAGAAGAACTGCGTAATCTCCGAAAAACCCTGATGGGAAACGGTTTCCCGCCCAGGTTCATAGACAAGAATCTGAAACTTAAGAAGATTTCTGAACAAGTCCAATCCGTCCCAAAGAAAATACTTCTGCTTAATCTCCAAATCGCTGAGGAAAACATACTTTGCCGCAAGCCTACGACTGACGTTTTCCTGCAAGAAACTGTTCAACTAGAATGCGAAAGACAAGTTGTCGCATTGGGCCACCTCAACATGCATATACCAGTTCACTTGCTCTTGTGGAGCTGAGTACATCGGCCGTACCATGCGCCAACTTGGAAAACGCGCTCGTGAACACTACCCAGCCTGGCTGGTAAAAGGAGAGCAAAAACGCGTATACAGTTCAGTGACAGAACATCTGGTCAACTCAGGACATTCAGCGCCTTTCCAAAAGTCCTTCAAAGTAATATACAAGATTCAATCAAACCTGTCAAAGGGAGTGAAATCAAGACATTTGGGCATAGCTGAGGCGTTAGCTATCCAAGAACTCAAACCCACTCTTTGTATCCAAAAGAAATATGTCCAACCCCTGCCCCTGCCATGGCCATCGTGAAAAGGTAAATTTTTTCTAATAATGACCATCCCATCGCCTTTCTTATCTAAACTTCCTGTTTATTCATGTTATTTTAAGTTTTCTTAATCCCTGTCTACACTACCATATTTCCATATCCACACTTCCTGTTTATTTTGTCATTTTACTATTTCTACATATTTAATCCCTGATTGTATAAACAATTATTCTCTAACTGATGTCAGCTCATGATGAAATCCTCCATGCAATCAAACCAAATCCCTACAAAAGCAATACTTGCAAATTATTCATCACACTAGTTTTTTATCCAAACATCCTGTATATTTTGTTATTTTTACATTTCTAACCCCCAGTTTCACAATGTCAATTTTCTTGGTTATCATGCTACTTTATTTGAGTTTTACCCATCCCCCTGTTTATTATGGCGTTCTAATTCCTAATTGTAATTTCTATTAATTTAACCCTTAACCAGAAATTATTCTGGAACTTTCCCATCCATTTGATATAAATACACGAATGTACAGCCTAGATGATGACTTCGTCGAAAAGAAAATTTTCTTCGCTGCAACTGTTTTTTTTTTCTGTTTCATCTGATGTTTGATTTATGTGAAATGAAAGCTGGTGTAGCCCACTTTTCTCGAGTATTTTTTCAGCCTTGTGGAATATTTTTCTTGACTTTGTGAATGAAACTCTCTGGATAGTTATTTTCCTTCAGAATTTCGGTAAGATTTGATATTTCTTCCTCTTTTTCTTTCTCATCTGATATCGTGCAGTGTGTTTGTTTAAGAAGACTGCAAACGACTGACACCTTTGTATGAATGGAGTGTGATGACTTGAAATCTAAATATTTGTTGGAGTGTGTTTTCTCTCCGAATGTAGACGTATTCAAATAGTCGTCTTCCTTCCACTTAATTAGCCAATCTAAAAAAGGTAGCTAACCAATATCTGGGTCCACTTCCGTAGTAAACTCAATGCTGAGAAATTGACTGTTCACATTCTCCAAGAATGAATGGTACAAGTCTGGTTTGAATTCTACGAAGATATTACAAGCGTATCTTATTCATATATCTGGCTTGAGTGTGTCTGAAAAAATTTTATCTAAATATTCATTCATGAAGAGAATAGCAACTACTTGTGAATCTGGTTAAAGGATTTCATCGTGAGCTGACATTAGTTAGAGAACCATAGGGAGACCCTACAAATCCCTATAAACCAATACTTGAATATTGATGAGATGCTCACCAGCGACTGGCCCTTTTTAGGTAGGTAGTTACCTGGATTTTAGTGGGAAGTTATGACCAGTAGGGTGCAGCAGGTCGGTTGTGAGGACAAATACTCGCCGAAGACATTGGCTAGGGGTCGCGCTATGTCGTGAATTGGCGGAAAGCTAGAATTCATGGGCTGGCCATTGAATAGGGTCTCAGTGGCTTAATAGTCTACTAGCTCTCTGGCCTTGTAACCAGAAGGTCCTGGGTTCGAACCCCGGTGGGTGCGTACTGATGAAGAGTCCCAAGCTAGGACAAAACAGCTGCCCAGTACCCTAGCTGGTTTTCCAATGGTTCTTTAACCAATGTCAGCTCATGATGAAATCCTGTAGCCAGTCAAATCAGTCAAATCCTTATGAACCACTACTTGAATACTTGTGAATCTGATTATCAATGTGATATTCATACTAACTATTCGGCTTCTGTCAACCACGGATGAAAATAAATTGAATAAAAAGACACAAACGGTTGGTGTGAGTTGTGTTTAACTACTCATATCAATCAATCAGTAGTAAACAGCATCATGCATTTGTGCCTGCTTCCTTGAATGTCATTTATAGTGTCAAGCTGACCATATACTGACATCTGAACAGTTTCGGTTTCGAGAGGAAACTAAAGCGAAATTCAACCTCAAACTTTGTAAATTTCAATGTGTTAATCAATCCGCTAATCACCCATTTAAGATTATCCCCAAAGGATAACCATCCTAATTTTAGATTTAATACCTACTCCTCAGTAAGTATTCTTCTTCAGGTGCCTATAGCTAGTAAATATTTGCTGATTTAGCCTTTCAGTTATACACCTAATTGCCGTGGTTCGTCATTCAAATCAAGAATGATCTAGAGAAACATAATTTGGAAGACGTCTGTAAAACGAAAACAGGCATATAACGGTTGATAAATCTCAGCTGTTAATAGGCAAATTGATGGGTAATGACGAGAGTAGTAAACTTGATCAAAGCAGGAATAACAAGTGTAGCAGGATAATATGATCTCTTTGTTATTGTTTTGCAGATTATCTTCAACTGCTTCCAACCTGAATGATTCAAAAAAATAGGGATTACGGAAAACGTTTAAGCGTACGTTTTTCCCGTTGATAAGGAGTCATTAATAGGAATAATAAGTGACACAGGTCCCTATCGATGTAAAAAGTTAAATTATTAGGTGTCTAGAGGATACACTATTAATGGAACAATAAGACTAATAATAAGGGAAAAAGTGACAGCATTCAAAATTTTAGATGGAAATGGAGTTCAACTAGAAGGAGTATTCTAGTTGAATAGATTACATAACTACGAGAAATTATTTTATAATAGCAGAAAAAGCAAGGGAAAGAGACGTTCAGATAACCGAAAGCTGAACGTGAAACATTTCATTACTTTATTCCCTGAACGGTTTTCTTCAAGACATTCATCATATTACGAACTTTGGAATGCACATAAAGTGAGCTATTTTTCTAAGATTCATTTAATTGGTTACAGGACTTCATTATGAGCTGACATCAATTAGAGAACCATTGGAAAACCTGGGAGTACTGGACAGCTGTTTCGTAGAAGTTTGGGACTCTCCATCAGTACGCACTCACCAAGGTTCGAACCAAGGCCCTTCTGGTTACAAGGCGAGCTAGCTCGTAGACCATTAAGCCACTGGGACCCGATCTAATGGTCTGTGAATGCTAACATCTGCTTATTCACGATATAGGGTGATCACTAGCCAATGTCATCGGCGAGTATTTGTCCTCCCTATTGACAGAATGGACCTCACTGGACACAACTTCTTTCTAGAACCCTAGGTAACTTGATCCTGTAGCTAGTCACCAGCAAGATCAGATATTATTTAATTGTTTTGTGCTTATATGTCTCAGAGTATCAACTCCAGGTAATGTGTGAATTAAATATTTCCTTGTTACGTGATATTGATAAAAATCTTAACCATATTGTTCCAATGCGATTCTTATTTATTTCTTTAAAAGTTTTACGGCATTTATTCTTTTTGATACCTTGCATAATAATAATAATAGATTTGATTTTTATGTTTTTCTATTTTCCTTTCTTTTTTAGAACATCATATTATGGAACAGATTCATCATTATTCTCTCTATGAATTCTGGTTTCCAGTAATTCTTCAAATATCATAATCACACCAAAAACAAGTGAACAAAGATTTCTTTTGCCAATTAAAGTTTTCAAATGAATTTGCGTCTATAATTTTCCTTGATTTATTCTTTTATTATTAATTCCAAAGAATCTAATTGTTTCTGTTTTGATTCCGTTTTACCTTTACGAGCGGAACATAAAGCTTCAGGCTTTTTTCCTGAGACTTCAGCAGTGGTGTCGTTTTATTTTATTGGGTAAGGTAGCTACCCTGATATCTAACACCCCTTTTTTCGAGCTTATAACGGCCTACTGAATCAAGAGTCACTCGACAGTGCTTCAGCCAGAAGTAGAAACTGTACCTCTGCCGTGGTTAGTGAGAATTCTACCAGTGAACCACCTTCCCAAAAAGAGAATATGTTTAGTCATGAATATTTATCTTTTTCTTCAAAAATGAGTGTACTGAGATAAAATTAAAGCCACACAAGTAACAAATTACTCACTGATGGATGGACAAATAGTGAGTGAAAAGATTTTATAACATGAGGGTTCTTTCACCTACAGAGTGATTCCTAAAAACAGCCATTTATAGACCTGTAACTCAAACAATAAAGTGTGAAAATGAGTACAGCAAGGAGCCGCTTTATGGCTACTTCACATCCGTCAGTTATACTGTTGCATTTATATTCAACTTTTTCTCGTAAAAAGGGGATAAGCTATCATAAGAATAATTGCTTATGGTAATCAGTTCATATGCGAAGTTGAATAAGCATGACAAAGTTACATTATTAGATAAATAATTTAGCAAGTACGGTGTAATCAGGGTGTACAAAGAAACAGAGGAGACTTTTACATTCTCTAGGAGTTCGGGGGGATAGATGATTCAGAAAGGGTAGGAGAAATAAAACAAGTGGAACAGTTAGGTCGAAAATAATACGGTCGTTACCATGATAATATGGAGGATTTTCTGTTGTGTAGGCAGCTCCAGTTTCTCTATCTGAATAACCAGAGCTTCATTAGTACATAAAAGGCGAAAGCGGATCGTCTTAGGCAGATTCTTTTTCACTTTGTAGATCACATTGAAGAAAGAGTTTGTTAAGACATAGTGGTCAGTGTCAACGAGGTACCTTTCTTCGAACTTGCGGGATAGTATCCTTGAATATGCGGCAAACGACCAGTATATCTAGGATGGAGGGGAATTACCCGCAAATTGAAAATAGTTTTTTTTATTTTCAATAGAATGGTGATCATTTGCGAGTACATCTTCCTAAAACATCCTGGATTACTATTAAATTTGTATACTTAATAGTTTTCAATTACTAAACAGACTTGAGATTTAGTTTTTATCACCGAAACCGTGTAGAACAATACCTTTGGAGTAGAATAGCTAATTCATTTAAGTGAATTAATACCAAAAGTCTTGAAGCATAAGTATCACGATTTAGAAGGAGAATTATGTCTGTCAATAATGATAATGATGTCTTTTCAGAATATACAAAAGAAAGAAAATTTACAATGAATAGTGTTCTCTGAGCTGGTTGGTTGAGTTGCGAAGCTTTCGTCGTCCTTCTGGACAACATCTTCAGCGCCATATTTATTCGTAAACCGAAAGTGAAGTATGCTCCCTAGGAAACAAATTCTTGAAAACAGGTGGCTGGCAGGAGTGTAAAAAAGAGGAACATTTGGAAACAGTGCTATACCTGCATAACTGCCTCTTCAGAAATTAAAATTCTACCATATTCGCTGAAGCAGGGCAGTTTGGACAAACGACATGAACTTTTCTAAATTTTTAGACACTTATGTAATTGATGCAGACCGGTATTGCCCTAAAATATGAAATTTTAAGATTATTTTAAATACTTCTGAGGTTATAGTACTGGTCAATGACTGATGACACGATCAACACACGACTATTAGCAGCACTGAGATAGTTCTTAATCATTCACAGTCGCCATAATAATCTAAACAGCTATCCAGTATAACAGATGCCATGCTTTCCAGTAGCTCGTCATCCCCAGTTTATTACCGATATTGGACATTTTGAAGGCATTTTATCCGTTTTTTGCTTATTTTCTTTCCTTCTCTGTGTTATTCCACGAAGCACAGCATCAGTTCTAACGTATAAAGTATTCCAAATAAAGGTTAGATGATCCATTGTTTTCTGTTGTTAGACCTGGACGGTTAAGAGTATTCGAAGTTCTAATATGACTGCGGATTCATGTTAGGAAATGCACGATAACTATATTCAAAGGTGAGCATAGGGTATGTGGTAAAAAATATTACGATAAATAATGTGGTAAGAATATTTTAGTAATTTTTTTGCCTGCAATGTTCATTGCACAAGTTTATTTGAAGAAGTCTCTCAGCAAAACGAAACTGTGTCTTTCGGTAATTATGTCTAAGGATGATAAGAATGAAGTGGCGCTTCCGGTGTCAGTACAGGCGTCACATACGAATTTATTTCAGCAATTCAAGCTATTGTTGTTGACGGAGATATTGGAAATGATGTGTCTTGCTATTCATGATAGCAAATTGATGAGATATCTGCAAAAGTACGCATTTTACCTTATGTAACTTACTAAACGTGTAATTTGATAATACCAGTTAAAAGTTGAAAAAATTAAGGCGCCTTCTTCGCGAAAATTCCGCCGTCGTCAACGCAAAATATTGAAATATAGATAAAACTTTTGTCTCTATGACGTAGTATACTAATAAAAGCTAATTCTCTTACAGCTTGTCTGCTTTCTACAACAAACCGCTTTAATAAACGAAGACTAATGCACCGACTAATCACTTCAAATTTCTATCTTTTCCTTAACAGCCGGAAAATGCAGTCAAAGAGATAAGAGACTTACTATTATTTCTATACCTAATTTTGTCTTGCTAATCACTGTATACGTGTTGCTATGACGAAATAAGTTTCTTGTCATTGAAAGTTTCCAAGAACAAGAGGCACAAAACTACTTGATGCAGTGAACGCTTAATTTATACCTTTGTGATACAAAGGTGACCGATGTATCTGTCTGCACTAATCCGTGTTAATGAAAATGTCAGGTAGATATCGATCCGAGTTACTAGTCTAAGCTACACGATATCACTATGCACTGTGGCGGGTTTAAATGTCAAAAGGATACTCACAGAAGGGCATGTAACCGACTCTGTTATTTAAAACTATTGTTCAATGCATTGCACTAGAACTTAGTAAGCAGAAGTTTTTATATTATTGTCACAGAGTAAGTATTTCGTATTTGGGGTAATCTATATCAGAGTAATAGGGCAGTTCATATGCATTCTTATCTGTGTGTAGTTATATGATTTAACTTTAAATCTTTTATTAGACAAATATGGAGAAACCTCTAAACAATAATTAGCACGAATTAGTGTACTGGTGCACTTTATAACTTAAATGCGCATAAAATATCCATGCATCTTTAGAGAAAACATCTAATACTGCGTGTATAAATTAAGACAGAGTTAACAAAACCTGATTCATCGTTAAAGGCGTATACACCATGGTCAGAAAAGGCAGTCACTTTTGCACAAATAAGTTCAAATCACGACCAAACAAACGGCCCTACACAATAAGGATAGTAATTATACTGATGGCATGTGAATTATATTCCTTTCTTACTAATTAACTTTAAAGCAATTAGTTCACTTTATAAATTTCGACAACACAATAAGAAGACGTAGTTTATCTGAAATGTGTAATGTATTGGCGCAACACATTTCGGACATTCTGATCACACACACGTACTTGTCATACACAGTTTTTATAGAAGGCAAGAAGGCATGAATAATTACAATACAGGTCAGATTGTGTACAGATCAAGGTCACAAATAATGGGTAGGGAGACGCAAAAGCTGTGGGTAAGAAAGATAAAAAGAGAGAAAAACAAGGCAAAGAAGGGGTTGAAAATATTCAGAAGTAAATTGGTCTTTGGTTCTAAATTGGATTACCAAGGCAGGTTTAAGGTGATAACAAATAAATTTTGAACAAATAAGACAGGTTTAAGTCTTTTCATGGCTAAGGCTTCAATGAATTTAAGTATGTGGCCCAACCTTGTTTTATATATCGGCTTAAAGGCATTGTTGAAATCAACCCTATGACCCGTCTCTATAATGTGCTTCGCTATAGATGATGTTGGACATCTATTTCCGGAGTCAGTTGTGTCTGGCGATTTCATTTGTTGTTGTAGCCACTTTGGAATGTGTTCTGTAGCCCTAACCTGCAGAGACCGATGGATCTTCCTTATGTGCATGTCTCCACAAATACAGGTAAATTGATAAACACAGTGGGGTGTGACAATATCGTTCGGATAATGTGAGGGTTTAGAGGACAACATAGTTCTCGTTTTCTCTATGAAGATAAGTTTAGCTGCATAATAAGTTCTATTAATTGCGGCCTTGAGTCTTTGTCTAGTGACTAGACTTTGTTGATCACCTGTGAACGGCAAGGATATGTAAACATCCTTTTTAGGAGATGATTGGATTGGTAAAGCTCTATGATTGACACTTCCGTAACGTCTAATAAATCTCAGTGGGTAATTGTTATCTAACAATATTTCAGTGAGGTGTTGTCTTTCTTCTTCACTTGTATCGGCAGTACATACACGGTGAATGCGCTAGAACAAACATTTAACCAACACCTTTTTATACTGCAGTGGACAGAAATTATGATAATTTAGATACTGTCCCGTCCATGTGGACTTTCTGTAGAGAGATGGTCTTACTGACTCATCTTCTTGGTGGGTTTGGAGTACACAGAGAGGACCCATCAGTCTCTGCAGGTTAGGGCTACAGAACACATTCCAAAGTGGCTACAACAACAAATGAAATCGCCAGACACAACTGACTCCGGAAATAGATGTCCAACATCATCTATAGCGAAGCACATTATAGAGACGGGTCATAGGGTTGATTTCAACAATGCCTTTAAGCCGATATATAAAACAAGGTTGGGCCACATACTTAAATTCATTGAAGCCTTAGCCATGAAAAGACTTAAACCTGTCTTATTTGTTCAAAATTTATTTGTTATCACCTTAAACCTGCCTTGGTAATCCAATTTAGAACCAAAGACCAATTTACTTCTGAATATTTTCAACCCCTTCTTTGCCTT